AAAGGGATTTAACTCTTAAATGGCAGAGGATTGAGCAGTGAGGCTGCAGGGGCATGTTCTATACACCAAAACTGCTTCATTAAGCTAAAGTTGTTCAGGTGACTATAGTGTCCCTTTAATTTCCTCATAGAAATGCAGAGCCATGGGGGCTGGATGTTGTTTTTAACACTATAGGGTCAAGAATACATTTTGTGTTCCTGACCTGATAGTGTTCCTTTAAGAATTGACCAAGATATGCCAGTCAATAACTTGTTTTTTTTGTTTTGTTTTTTAAAGAGGATAACAGAAGCATTAGACTACAGGAAAATATAATGTACTTTGTGTGTTGAGGGTTTTTGGGGAGAACACCAAAACGCAGAGGCAGGGAAAAGCACACCCATAAAAATCACTACTGCAGGAGAAGGCCTATTATAGGAACAAGCTAACAGGGAGTGTGCTGTGTCATGTGGATGTAGACAAAAAAACAGTGTGTCAAAAGAAAAGAAAAAAACACTACTTGGTGACTCAGGAACAGAGAGTCTAGAGGCTGAATTGTCCTAAGCATTAAGGTCAGTATGACTTATAAAAAACTTGATCAGGTCCTGTCTATTAGACAGCAAATGGTCATTTTCTTTAAGGCAGGCCATGGATAAGAAATAAAACAAGCATCAACAGCAAAAGCCGCCTACAGGACAAATGTTCCACAGGTTGGTGAGGAGCACTACAAATACCGAGCATTGTCTGGAGTTCGCAGAGGGAAGTATTAGTAAACAGAGATAAAATTACCTGGGAAAGTAAACTTTTATGAATATCATTATCACAATGGTAGGTACTTTTTTATAAAGCCCACATGGTACTGTGTTCAGGATAGGACACAGCACAATAACTTATTCTTTAGGATAACAATACAAAAAATGAAACCTAGTCATTCTAGATGTTGAGAATGCTACATTTAACTAGTGATGGTACAGGTAGAAAGGATGCTGCATGTGACAAGTGATGAAGCATCATGTAACTAGAGATAGGATAGTTAGCAAGGAAGATGCACGTAACTGATCATTCAGCAAAGATACTGGAGGTAGCTAATGATGTTATAGAACATCAAGCTGCATGCACCTTGTAATGGTCCAGATAAAGAGAAAACTGCATCAAACTAGTGATGCTGCAAGAAGAATTACTGAAAGTGACTAGTGATGGTACGGTTATAGTACTAGTGATAGAAGGGCAGCAAAAAAGCAAGTAACCAGTGATGCTGTAAGTAAAAGAAACTGAATGCGATGGTACAGATAGTGAGGAAGTTCCATGTAACTACCATTTCTTTATAGAGAAGAAGTTGTATGTAACTAGTCATAATGCAAAGAGAGGATACCTGAAGTAACTAGTAAATCTAGTGATATTACATAAGTGCCCATTGAGCCTATAAATAGCATGCTGCACATACTTTAAATAGTTACAACGATGGGAAGCTGACATGTAAACAGTAATAGTAACCGGAAGCAACAAAGCAGCATTAACTAGTGATGATCGGGTTAGCTGCATTGGTGATGCTACACAGAGAGGATATTTAATATGTAACTTATGAAGGTACAGATGATAAGGAAATTAGTGGTGCTACATAGAAAGTATGTGGATGAGTAAAAGTACCTGCTAACCCTAGAAATAGGGAGTATGCAGAACATAGCTAGGAATGGTACAAGGAGAGGATGCTGTTAGTGATGGCTGAGTTCAGGCGCTAGAGAACCTAAGGGATAATTTGCGGCATATAACAAGTGTTACTTACAGACAGTGACTGTTATGAATGTAACTAGCAATGCTGGAAGGTAGTGAATTTGCTGAATGTAAATAGAAGCTTACAAATAATAGGCTCCCTGTAACCTTGCTATATGGCAGATATGGTAGCTGCATTTAAAAGGCAGAAATACATGTATTAAAGTTGCTATTAGAAACTAGATACTCTACAGACAGAATGCATCGCACACTTAATGATGACAATAGTATAGAGCAGGGGAATGCAACCTTTTGAGCACCTCAGATGTTGTGGACTACATTTCCCCTGACACTTTGCCAGCATTATGGCTCTAAATGCATTATAGGAAATGTAGCATTGTCCACAACATCTGGAGTGCCAAAGGTTGCCTCCCCCTGGAATACAGTACAATGCATGGAAGCATCATGTAAATGATGATGCTGTAGGGATAGGATGCTGGATCTAGTGATGCTGTAGGGATAGGACGCTGGATCTAGTGATGCTGTAGGGATAGGACGCTGGATCTAGTGATGCTGTAGGGATAGGACGCTGGATCTAGTGATGCTGTAGGGATAGGACGCTGGATCTAGTGATGCTGTAGGGATAGGACATGCTGGATCTAGTGATGCTGTAGGGATAGAATGCTGGATCTAGTGATGCTGTAGGGATAGAATGCTGGATCTAGTGATGCTGTAGGGATAGGATGCTGGATCTAGTGATGCTGTAGGGATAGGATGCTGGATCTAGTGATGCTGTAGGGATAGGAATGCTGGATCTAGTGATGCTGTAGGGATAGGATGCTGGATCTAGTGATGCTATAGGGATAGAATGCTGGATCTAGTGATGCTGTAGGGATAGAATGCTGGATCTAGTGATGCTGTAGGGATAGGATGCTGGATCTAGTGATGCTGTAGGGATAGGACGCTGGATCTAGTGATGCTGTAGGGATAGGACGCTGGATCTAGTGCTGCTGTAGGGATAGGATGCTGGATCTAGTGATGCTGTAGGGATAGAATGCTGGATCTAGTGATGCTGTAGGGATAGGATGCTGGATCTAGTGATGCTGTAAGGATAGGATGCTGGATCTAGTGATGCTGTAGTGATAGGATGCTGGATCTAGTGATGCTGTAGGGATAGAGTGCTGGATCTAGTGATGCTGTAGGGATAGAATGCTGGATCTAGTGATGCTAGACCACAGAGTGTGAATGATTTATGTTAACTATTGATGCCATAGGTTGTGGGAGCTATACACATGTAGCCTTCACTGGGTGTGTGGTAATGCCATAATGTCCAATAGTTATGAGGATAATTCAACCAACACCCAAAAGGATCCCATAAGGAAGCACTATGATATAAAGTATATAAAGTGTTTATCATTTCGCTCCCAGTACACTCCCCAGGCCTCAGCCTCATCCCATATAAGAGGGGGCAGACACACAGGACACAAACTCCCCAGTCACGCCCTCCGGTACGGCTGATTTCTATGACAGCTTTCAGTTATCTTTCTCTCAGCCCATTCCTGCTTCCGCTCCCTCCCAGCTCCTCAATGTCAGTGTGCAGGCGATAGTTACCTGTGTGAGAGAGATGAGCGCCGCCATCTTGCCAGCCAGCCACGGGAGCGCGCCCAGCGTCAGCCGCTTCACACAGGACGCGCCCGAGAGAGCTGGGCGGGGCTAGGAGGATGGGCGACAGCTAGGGCGGGGCCATGAATGCGTGAATGGGGCGTGGCTTGAGAGACGGGGAGCCTCTTGTGACCGCCAGGAAGTAAGAGTGGAATGATGCTGCAAAGATTAGAACGTTAGAGCTTGTTGCCGTGGTTACCATTACTGCATCCGGATGGGTACCAGAACCTGATGCATTGGCGGAGGGAGTAAAGTAAAGATGTTCTGAAGTATATCTGTCAACAATCAAAGCCAGTTTAATTTTTTTTTAATTTTTTTTTAAACTGCACTCTGTTTTGATAGTATAATGAAGAACTACGATGTCACTGTTGGTCTGTCATAGCTGGTCTGTTAATATATTATCAATATACCAGTTATAAATAATTTCATGCACCATGGATACGTGAGTTGTGTAATAAGAAATATTACAAAACCTTTCTGATGGGTGTTTTGTATTATTTAATTTACGTATTAAAATACTATAAGGAATAAGCAAACCAACCATAAGGCGGGCGCATAGGCCCAGGCGGCTCAATGTGTGGATGGCCGGCAAGAGGAGAGTCATTACATGCCATTCACTCCATGTAGCGTTACCACGCGGACCATAGTAGATGATCTTGTTCAGTCTCTACCCGGTCTGACAGAATGCTGCTCGCTGGGAGAAGCGAACAGCTTCCTGTCAGCCCGGGTAGCAGATAAAGAAGATTCTCTACAGCGGTCCCTGCAGCCACTCTGCAAAAGAGAGGTAAGCAGACACAGAAGGGGAAAGGACCACAAAGGTGCTGGGGGGGAGAGACACACAGAGAGGAAGGGGATAAGAGAAACACAGATGTGGGGGGAAGAGACACACAGAGGGGCTAAGGAAGGGGAGAGAGAAACACAATAGGGGCTGGAAGAAAAAGGAGACGAACAAAACGGGCTCTGGAAAGGGAAAAAGAGACACACATAGGGACTGAGTGTGAAAGACACACAAAGGGGCAGGAGGGGAAGGAAGCACACAAAGAGGCTGTGGGAAAAATACACAAAGATTCTTGGGGAAGTAAGAGACACACAAGGGGCTGGGGGAAAGTAAAAGACACATAAAGGAACTGTAAGACACACAGTGCTACCTTATGGTAGTAACAAAAGGGGGGTTGTAAGATACATACAAGAGGGCTGTAAGACAAAGGGGAAAAGATACACTAAAGGGTGTGTAAAACATAAAGGGGAACGAGATACACTAAAGGGGAGTGTAAGACACAAAAGGGGGATAAGATACACTAAAAGGGGTAAGACATTCAAAAGATGGGAAAAGAAAAACAAACGGTGTAAGAAATTAAAAAGAGGGGCTTAAGAGACACACATGTGTCTTGTGGGGGGCAAAATGCATTTTCCCCAGTGTAGCTAAAATCCTTGCACAGGCCCTGAGTGTTTGTGTGCTCCTTTAGGGGTGCACACATGGGTGAACCTCAATTAGCACAACAACCAAAAAATTACCAAATGTTGCACTCCACCATTGCATTGAAGCCACACTCCTGCACACAAAAGGTAGGAAGCAGGAGGGTGGGTAAAAAAAGTAAATTTTGTATGTGTGTCTGTTTGTGTGTATCTGTGTGTCTGTATGTATGCATGTCTGTGGATCTATCTGCGTGTCTGTATGTGGATCTACATGTGTGTCAGTGAATCCAAGGGAAGCCACACTCCTGCACACAAAAGGTAGGAAGCAGGAGGGTGGGTAAAAAAAAGTAAATTTTGCATGTGTGTCTGTTTGTGTGTGTCTGTATGTATGCATGTCTGTTGATCTATCTGTGTGTCTGTCTATGTATCTATGTCTGTATGTGGATCTACATGTGTGTCAGTGTGTGCCACTGTGTATCTGTATGTGTGTCATTCTGTGTATCTGAATGTGTGTCATTCTGTGTGTCTGTGTATCTGCATGTGTGTGTTAGTGTGTCTGTGTACCTGCATGTGTGTTAGTGTGTGTGTCTGTTTATCTGCATGTGTGTATTTGCATGGGCATCAGTGTGTTAATCTGTGAGTCTCTGTATCTGTGTTTGTTAGTGTGTGTCTGTGTATCTGCTTGGTGTCAGTATTTGGCCCTGTGTGTCTGTTTATCTGTATGCAGGCACATCGGGGCAGAGGCAGCAGCTGCAGACTTGAATACAAGTAAGATTATACTATACGTAGGGAGGCAAGAGGGGCTCAGGGGGGCTAAGTGGTGGTTTCAACACTATAGGGTCACGAATACATGTTTGCGTTTCTGACCCTATAGTGTTCCTTTAAGGTTTCAAAATGTTTCACTAAACTTGATGTAAGATGGGCTTATAATTTGGTGACAATAAGGGGAGATGAGTGGACCACTGCCTTTTCTACTTGTAGCGGGCATTATGAATATCTAGCCATGCGTTTGGACTATGCAATGCTCTGACAGTCTTCCAGGATCTTATTAATGGCGATACGATATTTTAATCCATTCCTCAGACCTCCACTCTCATCACCAACATGTCAGGATGTTATTAACTAAGTTTCTAAAAGCTGCTTTATACAGTAAATGAGAGAAATGCCTCTTTGACCAGAAGACAGTTAAATTCTTGATATATGTGATTTCTGAAACAGGGTTAAGTATGGATCCTACTAATCTAGAGGCCATACAATCATGGCAACTACCACAGGGACTTAAAGCAATTCAGTGCTTTATAGGGTTCTCAAATTATTACAGAATGTTCATCAATAACTTTTCTACTATTTCCTATTAGTTTCTACACAAATTACGAAAAATACCAACATTCAGAAATAGCCACCTGAGGCATTGGAAGCTTTTAAAACATTAAAAAATGCCTTTTCCATGGCCCCTATCTTGGTGCACCCTGACATAGCATTATCATAGTAACTGATGCCTCAGAATCTAGTATAGGTGCAGTTTTGTCTTAAAGAAATAAACCACAAGACTCATTACACCCATGTTGTTCTTAATTTTATAAAATTGACAGATTCTGTAAGGAACTATGTTATATGGAACAGGTAGCTTTTGGCTATAGTTTTAAGGGATGGAGGCACTTATTGGAAGACTCTAAGCACCCCATATTGGTATTAACTGACCACAAAAATGTAGCCTATATTGCTGAAGCTAAACATCTGTTGCAAAGAAAGGCTCATTGGTCATTCTTCTTGTCACATTTTAATTATGTGATAACATAACCTGGTTATCATAATACCAAAGTAGACGTATTGTCCAGACAGTTTGAACTAATGGAGGTGGTTGACAAGGACCCTGAACCCAAAAAAGAAGTTATTGAGTTCATTCAAGCATGTACTACTTGTGTATTTCAGAGACCAGCTGGTTTACTCATGCCATTGCCATAGAAACATAGAAACATAGAATGTGACGGCAGATAAGAACCATTCGGCCCATCTAGTCTGCCCAATTTTCTAAAACTTTCATTAGTCCCTAGCCTTATCTTATAGTTAGGATAGCCTTATGCCTATCCCACGCATGCTTAAACTCCTTTACTGTGTTAACCTCTACTACTTCAGCTGGAAGGCTATTCCATGCATCCACTACCCTCTCAGTAAAGTAATACTTCCTGATATTATTTTTAAACCTTTGTCCCTCTAATTTAAGACTATGTCCTCTTGTTGTGGTAGTTTTTCTTCTTTTAAATATAGTCTCCTCCTTTACTGTGTTGATTCCCTTTATATATTTAAATGTTTCTATCATATCCCCCCTGTCTCGTCTTTCCTCCAAGCTATACATGTTAAGATCCTTTAACCTTTCCTGGTAAGTTTTATCCCGCAATCCATGAACCAGTTTAGTAGCCCTTCTCTGAACCCTCTCTAAGGTATCAATATCCTTCTGAAGATACGGTCTCCAGTACTGTGTACAATACTCCAAGTGAGGTCTCACCAGTGTTCTGTATAATGGCATGAGCACTTCCCTCTTTCTACTGCTAATACCTCTCCCTATACAACCAAGCATTCTGCTAGCATCAGATTCAGGACGCTTGGGATGTATGATTGTTTTAGAGTTTTTTTTAGAGTTGCCCATTCCAAAAATGCCATGTCCATTGATTGTATTGTCGAGTCACCCCCTTCTGAAGGTAACACTGTTATCCTAATTGTTGCTGACAGGAATTTCCAAGATTGACTATTTTATTCCTTTTAAGATTACCCACTGCTGAACGCAAAAGAGATATTCAGATTGCATGGTATCCTACTAGAAATAGTCTCTGACAGAAGATCCCAGTTTATATCCATATTCTACAGGGCCAGATAAAGAGCCCAGTGGGCCTGGTGCTGTCAATTATGATGGGCCTAATTTCTAATTATATTTTAGAAATGTTTTATCATCGATCCTGGTTCCAAGCATTTTTATCCAGCACAGAAGAGAGTGCAGTCCCAAATCTGCACAACACCTAGGAATTGAGTCATTGTTATATGACTCCAGATTTGTAAGTACCCATTTGGGATTCTTTATTCTGCATTAGGAATACTACTTGGAAATACTGTGCAATCGTTTGTATTCTTTCATTTCCCTTATAGAGCAAGATCTAAACCGACAATAGGGGTGGGTCGCCTAACGAACCCAAAGACGATTTAAACCAGAGCTGGGTCTAGCTCTCTGTTTGTGAGTGCATATACACCATAACTACAACAGATTACCTTATTGTGTATGATCCATGCTATGTATAATAATTTTTTCTTGATATCTGTATATTTTGAAGATATCAGAATAATTTTGCCTCTTGACTAAGTTTGTCTACCTTCATGCTGAAACTTAAAAGGTGATTCATGAATTTTATGATTATTTAAAAGCGCTACATTATTTTCTTGTCTTGCATTCTATATTGGTGATACTGTAAAGGAGCACTTGAATGTATAGCAGCTAATAACAATTTGGTGTTTTCACACATTGAAATTTTATATAAATAAGCGCTGGTTCCTATCTACCTTTTTTCTCTCTAATTTATGCTTTTATCTTTCGAGTAAATTCATACCCCCCTAACAGCAGTGTCCAGTGAAGCAGGAAGTCAATGGGCGGGAGAAAAGGGTGTGCCACTGACGCGAATCTTGTTACTAGAACTGCCAAAAGGGGCGAAGATGCCGAGAGAATTGGAAAGCCAACGTGGCATGAATGTAAGACAGGCTGCCTGCCAATCATGCAGGATGACCAACAAAGGGCATACCATGCAGACAGCACACTGAGCTTGGCGGAAATGCGTCAAATGATGTGCTCACCCCACGCTTTGTAAGGACTGTCCCCTAGCACTCACATGTCCACTTGTCTCCTTAACATCTTACTAGCAGACAGAAGTTCCTGGTATATAGAGTCTGGGACAGAGGAAAGGTGTATGTAGTGAATGTAGAAGAAAGGGAACATGCCACAGTGTTAGAGAGACCAAAGTGAGCTTTACCTTAACTAATTTCATTGTCAGCCAGTCCACACCAGTTTTGTTCCCCTACATCCCTCTTAAGTTTCCATACTTAAGCAAAAGTATGTGAAGAGTAGTTAGGGTTGCCACCATTCTTAGGAAAAAATACCGGACTTACTAATTTGCATAATTTAAGGGACACTATAGTCACCAGAACAACTACAGCTTATTGCATTTGTTCTGGTGAGTAGAATCATCACCTTCAAGCTTTTTGTTGTAAACACTGTCTTTTCAGAGTAAAAGCAGTGTTTACATTACAGCCTTGTGATAACTTCACTGGCCACTCCTCAGATGGCTGTTAGAGATCCTTCATGGGTCATGGCTGCCTAAAATGCAACCAAACATTCAGTATCTCCTCCCTCTGCATGCAGACACTGAACTTTCCTCATAGAGATTCATTGATGCAATTCATGCTGATTGGCCAGGGCTGTGTTTGAATAATGCTGGCTCTACCCCTGATCTGCCTCTTTGTCAGTCTCAGCCAATCCTATGGGAAAGCATTGTGATTGGATCAGGCTACCACTTCTGATGATGTCAGCAGACTGCTTGTTTTTCTGAGGCAAACAGCATGCAGATCTACAGCTTCAGGCTTGAATACAGTAAGATTTTGCTATATTTATGGAGGCATGAGGGTCGCGGGGGGGGGGCTAGATGGTGGTTTTAATTAATACTATAGGTCAGGAATTTATGTTTGTATTCCTATAGTGATCCTTTAATTATGTATGCGTGACATCACATGATGTAAATCACAAGAGAAAAGTCTTTAAAATTACCAAAACACTACTTACAGTTTGATTCTGCTGTATAGATGGATTGCTCCCATTGTCTCCCTGTCTCCCAATGTATCACAGTGTGCAAGTATCCCATAGTCTCCCTGTCCTTTAGTCTCTCAGTGTCCAGTAGCCTCAGTGTCTCCAGGTCTCCCAGTGTTCTCTAGCCTCAGTGTCTCCAGGTCTCCCAGGTGTCCCTTATGTATCACAGTGTCCCTATTTATCACAGTGTCTCAGTGCTCCATGTCACCCAGTGTCCCCATATCTGTGTCCCCTAGTGTCTCCACATCACCCAGTGTCCCCTAGTGTCTGTGTCCCCATGTCTCACAGTGTCCCCATGTCACTAGGGGACACTGAGAGACCTCCGTACACTGAGACATTTGGGGACACTGGGCGACATGGAGACACTGAGACACTAGGGGACACAGATATGGGGACACTGGGTGACATGGGGCACTGAGACACTGTGAAAAATAGGGAAACTGTAATACATAGGGGACACTGGGAGACCTGGAGACACGGAGACTAGAGGACACTTAAACACTTGTGGACACTGGGAGACATGGGGACACAGACACATGGAGACACTGGGAGACATGGGGACACTGAGACACCAGGGACACTGAGAGACATGGGGACACTAGGGACACTGGCTGGGAGACATGGGGATACAGGGACACTGG